CGACGCGTCTCAATACAGCGAGCCCAATCAGCATCAGAGTAGCCAACAATGGAAATGTCAGGACGGCGTGTAAATGAGAGACCATAGTGGATTGTCCCTTTAACATACCGAAGAATGCGCTTCAGAGTGTCAAAGTGAGTGTCAGTGGGAGATTGCAGAAACTGACTCACAAGATTCACAGCATACGAAAGATCTGGTCGAGTGATGGTCAGGTACTGAAGAGCACCCACTAGAGACCGATAAAGAGTAGGATCAGGAAAAGGTGAACCATCACTCACAAGAACTGCACCAGCAGGCAGAGGGGTGTGTACAGGTTTAGACTCAAGCAGTCCAGCACGCCGAAGTATGTCTTGAGCATATTTGGCCTGCCCAACGAAGAGACCATCGGAGGTGGATGTGACCTCGAGTCCAAGAAAATAGTTCAGCTGACCAAGATCCTTGAGAGCAAATTCCTCGCTAGTTCGATTAATGAACTTCTGCACCAACATATCATCGTCACCTGTGACAATTATGTCATCAACATACAAAAGCAAGAAAATTGCCGAAGCACCTTTGTGGAAGTAAAAAAGAGAAGTGTCAGCACGGCTCTGAGAGAAACCCTGTGTGTATAGGTAAATGCTGAATCTTTGAAACCAAGCAAGAGGTGCCTGGCGAAGACCATACAGCGCTTTCTTAAGACGACAGACATGCGACGGAAAACGAGGATCTACAAACCCGGGAGGTTGGGCCATGAATACGGGTTTGTCAAGAAGGCCGTTGAGGAAGGCATTCTTGACATCAAGCTGATGGAGAGACCATTCTCGTTGAACTGCAAGAGCAAGAACCACACGAACAGTAGCAGCCCGCACAACTGGGCTAAAGGTGTGATGGAAGTCTGCACCAGGGATTTGTGTAAAACCTTGGGCCACAAGTCGTGCTTTGTGTCGTTCCACTGAGCCATCTGCACGGAATTTGGTTCTGTAAACCCATTTAGAACCCACGATGTTAGCGTCAATGGGACGGGGAACAAGATCCCATGTATTATTGGCTCGTAGTGCAGTAATTTCTTCTTCCATTGCGGACAACCATACAGGAGACTTAGAGGCAGATTTGTAGCCTCGTGGCTCAGTGCAAGCAGTAAGAGCAGATAATAAGGCTATGGATGATAGATCAACTGGATAACGAGGCTTAAAGACACCGGCTTTGGCTCGAGTAACCATAGGATGTGGCTCAAGTGGAGGAGCACGTCGGCGTTGTCTAGTGTAAACCAGGGGAGCTGGTGGTGTAGCAGCCGGAACAACGGTATTATCATTTGGAGCCTCAAGAAGGGGAGGATCCGGAATAATAGCAGCAGGAATATCAGGATTAGTCGGAGGAGTGTCCTCTGCATCATCATCAAAGATGGGAGTTGAAGTCCTCGGGTAAGAAGCCGACGAAGCAGGAGCTGATCCATCAAGAAAACCAACTACTTCCAAATTTCGTGGAGAAGATGTGGCCGAGACACGATAAAAAGGAAACTGAGATTCATCAAACTGAGCATGCCGCGTAATATAAATACGGGAGGAATCTGTATCAAGACATCGAAAACCTTTGTAAGAACTGCTATATCCCAAGAAGATACAAGGCTTACTCCGAGGAGAGAGTTTGTTGGCCGCATAATCACGCAAGTATGGGTACACCCGACAACCAAAGGGGCGGAAGAGAGCATAATTCGGAGTAGTGCCAAACAGTACCTCAAAGGGTGATTTATTTTGTAGAATGGAAGATGGCAACCTGTTAATGAGATAAACAGCTGTGCTAAATGCATCAAACCAAAGGGAACCTGGGGCATGAGCATGAAATAGCATGGTAAGGCCCATTTCAGAGATGTGGCGATGTTTGCGTTCTGCACGGCCATTTTGTTGCGGAGTGTATGGACACGAAAGACGGTGATGAATTCCATGTGTAGACATGAAATTACGCACAGTGTTGTTCACAAATTCTGTTCCGCCATCACTTTGAAAAACCTTAATTGTGCTTGAAAACTGATTGCAGACAAAATTGTGAAAGCTTACAAGCGTGACATAAAATTCAGATTTGGATCGTAGAGGATAAATCCAAGTGAAGCGAGAAAAATCATCAACAAAAATCACATAATATTTATATCCATCCGATGTTGTAATTGGGGCGGGCCCCCATAAATCACAATGAATTAATTCAAGCACAGTAGCAGCACGTTTTTCATTTAGAGGAAAAGGCAACCTTTTGCTCTTTGCAAGTTGACAAGAGGAGCAGATAGTAGGATCCGGTAATATAGAAGAGACAGATAGGTGTCCCAATTTATTCAAATGAGAAATAACATCAAAAGGGACATGCCCCAAGCGTGAATGCCATAAAGAAAAGCTTGCTGTTAGAGAATTATTTCGAAGAGCTGCAACCAAAGCTGGCGTGCCCCGATCAAGCAGGTACAAACCATTATTACATCTGCCCTGAGCCAGGACCCTCTTTGTTTGTCGGTTCTGTATTTCAAACATGTTATTGGAGAAGACAATATTAACAGGACAATCTGCCGTCAATTTGCTGATAGATAACAGGTTTTTAGTGATATGCGGCACCACAAGAACATCCAACAGTTTGATGTCACGAGTTAAAGATCCTGAACCAACATGAGATATAGATAAAGCATGTCCATTTCCAACAATAACTGAATCATTACCGGAGTATGGAGTAGCAGAGGCAAGAGTAGACTGTTGATTCGTCATATGAGCAGAAGCCCCCGAGTCAAGATACCAATCCGACGGACTGAGGCGACAGGAAGCATTAAAAGCATCGGCAAGATGGGCAGCAGGCTCAGCATTTCGGGCTTGAAGAAACTGAGGACATTTGTCGGCGTAGTGTTCTCCACGGCAAATTTGGCACCGTGGAGTATAAGACCGACCACCACCACGACTGCGGCTGCCTCCTTGTCGATTTCTGCCGCCAATAGAGCCACGGCCGCCTGAGTTGTCGTCAAAACGACGCGGCTGGTTGGAAAAGCCAGGTCCTGGCTGCCGGGTGCTGGGATGATTGCGCCCACGGCCGCCATGTGGATGGTGCTGCACACGCCCAAGTTCGGCGTTGAAGACTGCTACTGGGGGAGCCGAACCCTCCATTGCACGAACCATGGACTCGTATTGCTTAGCCTGGTGGAGAAGGTCGCGAAAGCCAGGTACCGGGGTTAGGGCTAAGCGGGTGTCAGCAAAGGAGGCAAAAGTCAGGCCTAATCCTCGTAGAAACCAGTGGGATTGATCAGAGGAGTCCACCGGCTTTCCAATTGCAGAAAGTTGATCACAAAGTCCTTTAAATTTGCGGCCGTATTCATCAACAGAGAGATCCGCTTTGCGAAGAGATAGGAGTTCCTCACGCAACTGATGCGTGCGTGAGGCTGAAGAATCAGAGAATGCCGCTTGCAGATTTTTCCATGCAGCGGCGGAGGTAGTGCAATCAATTACCTCAGACATGGCCTCCGGCGACAGCGAGGTCCAGATGACGGAGAGAAGTTTTCGATCCTTCGTACGCCAAAGTTGGTAAGCAGGGTTTGGAGAAGGGTTACTTCCAGCGGCGGCAATGGTGGCATCTGGTGCAACCGTCGATCCATCGAGGAAGCCCTCGAGATCATAACACTCGGCCATGTGGAGGATTTGGCGATGCCAAACAAGATATGTAGAAGGATCAAGTTTGACGGGAACCATGTTTATCATCGTGTTTACTGGGAGAGAATCGGAGGAAGGGTTAGCCATGGAGAGAAGAGATAGAACAGAAAGGCGAAGAGAAGAGAGATCACGATCAGATTTGCAGAAGCGTAGGGATCGCTACTGCTCTGATACCATGTAGAGAAGAATAGAAGATATGGAATTCACCGTAATTGTGGTGATCCAGAGAACTCGTATATAAAGAGTGTAATTACAATGAATATACAAACAATAATAGCCACAAATCAAGGCTAATTACAGGGGAAGAATATATGCTGTTTAAAGGAAAAGATATTGCTATCTATTTCCCTTATTATTAATAATTATAAATCTAATTTATGAAATTATTCACACAAAAAATACAAAATAAAAAGGTTAAAAAATATTAAAAAATGAAAAGTATTGTTTATTTTTGGAGTTTGAATTTATTTTTTACCCATACAATCGTCACTATATCTATAAATATATACTCTCTTTTAACATAATACTTATTTATTTTTTGCGTTATTATACTTAATATTGAAAATATTTTTATATTTAAATAATATTTTATACAAATACATTTGTATTATAAATAATAATAGAAGTGTTTTTATTTTTTATTTTTAAATTTTTACTATGTATGAATATAATATTAATATTCAAAATTCGACATGTAAAAAATAAATATATGCTTAATTAAGGGACCGAGTGGTATTATTTTCTGTAATCCTATTACAATTTAAACCACTACTTAGATTTAAAAAATAAAAATAAACCCTAAAAGAACATAAAAATATATATTGTTAGTTTATCTCATTTATCTCAATTCAAGTAATAGTTCTTAATATTCTATCAATTTTTCTATTTTGGTATGTCCATAACAAAATATTTATTTATTCTAATTTACAATATATTACAAATATTCTTATAATTTACAATATATTACACAAATGTCATTACATTTATATTTTACAATACTAATAAAGTTAGTTTAATTTTTTTACATTTATTTCTACTACATCCCACTGTAATACTATTTCCGTTTGTCTCACTCTAAATTATTATTTTTATATTATAGTAATATCAAAATACATTTAACTTTTATTTAAATTACAAATATATCATTACATATACAATTATTTTACACATAAAATCAAATTTTAAAAATATCGAAACCTCATGTATTATCACAATATAAAAAATAAAAAATAAAAAGTTACATATATTGAGACATGTGCCGTATATATTGACGTTTTTCTTACACAAACATAGCTAAGATTCTACGAATAACTTGTCCGTAAATTTGATTCCCCAATTCTAACGGCGTTAATGGTGTCCATAGATTCCGTCAACCCAAACCCCTCCGCCGCCGTCGAAATGATCTCAAGCCCTCGGACATCATTCTCCTTCGACTTTCTCGACGACACCAACTTCATCTCCATATCTCCGGCCGCCGCCGCCGCGGTGGCGCAGAGCGTCGACTTCGAGTTCCTGTCGCCGGAAAACACCGCCGCCGCCGGAATGACGACCGCCGACGAGTTGTTCCGCGAAGGCAAACTCCTCCCCTTCTGGCAAACTCAATTCGCTAAAAAACTTAACGCCGTCAATCTCGAAACGGCGGCGGGCAGTGCCGGCGGTCAGGAAACGGCGGCGGGCAATGGCGCCGCCGGCGAGAGCAGAATACGGTGGCTGCTCGACGACGACCCGTCGCCGCGGCCGCCGAAATGTACGGTCTTATGGAAAGAGCTTCTGCGGCTGAAAAAGCAACGGTCGTCGAACTTGTCGCCGTCTTCTTCCTCGTACGTCTCCGAACTGCCGCCGGAAAGTGCCGATCGGAGAAAATCTCCGGCGCCGGCGCCGGTGTCGGGTAAGGAGAAGAAGAGATCTGTTGTTAAGAAGATGCAAGGAGGTAATGTACGGATAAGGCCAGTTATCAATGTGCCGATCTGTTCGACGAACAGTTCGCCGTTAATGTTGCCGTCGTCGAGGAAATTAAGGAAGACCAGATCAGAGGTGACCGTTAATGTCCGTACGTCGTAGGCAGTAAGAACGACTATTATGTATTTTTTTTGTTTTTTTTTTGTTTTTTGGTGTGGTTAATTTATTAATTAATTAGTCGTTTGATCTGTAATAAGGATTCTAAATTTCTAATTTGTGCTTTTAGAGGTATATATTATAAATTATTTTTATATTTAAAATATTAAATCAATATATATTTATATTACATTATATAATTATTCAAATTCACCCGAAATAAAATAGGTACGTATAAACATGTCATTGTAAAAAATTAGTAACGACCCAATTTTTGGATCGAACTTTTCATCAATTATTTGTTTTTTTATTTTTTATTTTTTCAAAATCATGGAATAAAATATTAAAGGTGTGTTTCTTTAGGTCGGTTTGGGAAAAATTGAGTTTGAGTTTAATTTTTATTTGAGTTTTAAGATAGGTTTGAGTTTTTATGTTTATTTTCGTGTGTAAGTTTGGTTTAGGTTTTGAAAATTTTGATATTTATTGATTTGATTGGTAATAAATATAATAATATAAATATATATTAATTTGTATAATCTTATTATAAATTTATATTATATCAACATATATATTTTTAAATTTTTATTTATTTATATTATATTTTTTTTATTCTATATAAATGATATATATTGTATATATTTTATTAGATTATAATTATTATAAAAATTTGAATTTAAATTTATAATTTATTTATTTTTTAAAAAAATGGGAAAACAACACAAAAGTTGTCCTACAGCTTCTATCGGACGTTTAAACGTTTAAGGGACAGTTCAATTTAAAAAATTTTACTGTACAAATAGTGTTTATTATGAAATTGATTTGAAATAAAAATTTAATTTAATTATTTAGTTAAGTAGTATTTTACGAGAGAATATAAATATTTTTATTGAAAACAACAACAAAAATTATAATTGTAACTTTAATTTTAGATGATGTGTTTGTTCTTTTTAACAAGTTTTTTCTAATATGATTTTCGATATATATATTATTTTGTTTATAAAAATGAACATTTAATATAAAATATTATTTTTTATATTATTAATATAATTTTTTATATTTTAAATAAAAAATTTTAAATCAAAACACTAAACAAATAAACTCGATATATTTAATTTTTAAAAATCTAATTTAATTGCATCAAGTTCACCAAATTTGTTTTTGTTCTTCTCAAACTTATATTTAGTTATATTTCCTCTATTCAAATGCAATAGTCTTGTTTATTATTTTTGTCTGTTCCAAAACAATCGTCTTATTTCCATAAATAATTATATCACTATATAACTACCATTACTCTTTCATTATTATTACACAATTGCCACTATCTTTTACATTAATACATTCAGAAGGGTAAAAATGTCTTTTACCTATATTTTTTTACCCATTATCAATATAATATCAATATTCCTTAAATTTATTGCCCAACATAACCAAAGACTATAGTTCCGGAATGGAGGGACTACTTCATTTGTGATGTGGGACTTGAAGCTGTTATTTGTGTACTAGCATATTAATTGTGTTGTAATATATATATATATATATATATTATTTAGGTTTGAAAAATTCTATATTGAATTTAATATTAAAATATTAATTGATAAAATATTTTGTAAAAAAAAAATTCAGAATTTAAATACTCTCTCCGTTCCATAACAAAGTATCTATTTTTTCATTTTATTCCGTCCTATAATAAAGTATTCATTTCTTTTTTTTTTAGTAATTGTACTATGTACCTAACATTACAAATACCCTTACAACTTACAATATAATACACAAATGTCATTACCTTTATATCACACATACTAATAAGGTTTTTTTAGTCATTTCTACTTTATTCCTATTATATCCCAATATAATACTAATATTTCTAAAACTACGTGCAAAAAACAAATGAATATTTAGTTTCGGGACGGAGGGAGTAGTAAAATTTAAAAGTTTAAACAAAAGAAAAACACTCAATAATGTATTTTAATTTAATGTAATAATATTATACTCCTATAATGGAATGACATTCACTTAAAAAGAAAATAATTAAAATATTTCCTCCGTTCTATCGAAAGGATGTCGTTTGTTTTTTTTACGTAAATTTTTGAATATTAGTATTATATTGAATTATAGTAAAAAAGACAAAAATACTCCTATTAGTATAGTGTATATAAGTTGAAAGAGTATTTATTATGTTAAATAGATAGTATAATTATTAAATTAGAAAATGATAAATTTATTTTTAAACGAACGAAAATAAAAAATAGTAACCTTTCACTTTGACAGAAGGAGTATATAATTTGTATTCAAATAGACAAAAATGATAAAATTTGCTATATCTAATTAACATATAAATGAAGCACAATTGATTATAAATAGCAAATTGAAATAGATAATTTTAATAATTTATTAACTTTATTAGAAATATATTTCTATTGGACCACGATCCATATCGTTGAGTTGGTGGTAAGTAGTTTTCAACTGATCCTATCTCGATTAATTGCTATAAATAAGTCAAATAATGAATTATAGAGTAGCCCGTACAACTAGTCTATTTTGGTATTGATAAAAATTATAGTATTCCCCCCTTTCAATAAATATAGTCTTAATTGTATTGGACATGAGATTTAAAGAATATTGATGTTATATTGGTAGTGGGTAAAAAATATGGATAAAAGATTTTTTTTTTCCTTTGAGTGTATTAGTGTAAAAAATAGTAGCAATTGTGTAATAAAAATGAAAAAATATGAGTAGTTTTATGGTGGCGTGGTTATTTATAAAAATAAAACTATTGTTTTGAGATGGATGATAAACAAGACTATTGTATTGGGACAAATGGAGTATTATTTATTATTATATATTCTATTTAAATTTAAGAATAAAATAATATTTTAAGAATAGTGCATGTATTTTATGTTGAATAACTATTTTACGTTATAAATTTATTTGTATTAAAACAATGCAAATGTAAATAAATATGGTTGTAAGAGCATTTGTAATGTACAGTGAAGTAGATATTAGTACTGGATGCATTCTTTTTATCAAATTTTACTCAATTTTTATTATTCATTGAAATTTTTTTCCAAAAATATAAAATCAAATACGTATTTTTAATTTTTTACATTATACTAAAAATTAATTTTACATTGAAAATATCACATCAATATATATTTATATCACATTATACAACAATTCAAATTCCAAAATTTTTACTATTCAAATTCCAAACGAAAATCCAATCCCGCAAACAAACACACCCTTAAGAACGTGTTTATTTGTCAATTTTTTTTTTCGAATTTCTACTATTCAATAATTTATTTATTTTTTCTAAAAATATCAAATCAAATATTTTTTTTTATATTATAATAAAAATTAATTTTATATTTAAAATATCATATCATACAGTCACTCATTTCAAAATTTTTTACCTATTCAAATTCAAACAAAAAATTCAATGATCAAACTAATACACACTTAGTGAGTGGACAACCGAAAAGGGTAAAATTCTTGGTTGAGCGCTTAATGGGCTTATTACAAATTATTGGGCCATAAACTTTTATTGGACTTCTATTTAATTTTAATTAATTGGCCCAATTAAACAAACAAGGATTGGGCCGGCCCAATTAAAGCAGCCCTTTTATTGCTAGGGTTTTACTCTTCAGTATGAATCTAATTTGGATTATGATTTTAGGGTTTAAGCTTCTAATTAAAATAATTTATTATAAAACAGTTAAAGTTAAAAATTAAATTTAATTTCATACATTAATTATTTATTACTTGACATTCGTATAAAATAAATAAATAAATAAATAACTAAGATGTAATTAATCCGTAACCATTGGAAGCTTCCATATTTAAAAATGGTGTTTTTCTTAATACGCCATTTCATTTGCGTCTGAAAGAACTGAGGACGAGCTGTAATTTCCGCCGGCGCGTTCAAACTTGCCGCAGAATCACGCCGGAAATCTCGAGGGAAGGTAATTGAATCTGTTCCTTTTTCGTCTATTCGTTACGTGTATTTGATTATTTGAAGCGGAGGCGTTTTTTCATCCTACGGTTAATTTTTTAGGGTTTTTAGTTCCTTCTCAAGTAAACCTTATGCGAGGCGGGTTCAGGGTTTAGGGTTTATGGTGAGGAGTTGAGGCGCTGTTTGTTTGTAGATTTTATCAAATTTGGATTATAGGTTCCATGTAACTGTTTGCTCCTTTTTTTTTTTTTTTTTTGTTTAAACTGTTGGATCTGTTCGTGAGAGAGTGTCTTGAGACTGACGCTTTGTTTTGAGGTTGATTTAGCAAAGGGAATTGATAAGGAAAGCAAAACTTTGGATTTTCTTACCGCTTTCCTAATTGGCTTGTAGAAATTTTACTATAAGGAAACAAAAATGTGGTTAACTAGTTTGGTAATTAAATTTAAACAAATCGCTGTGTTTGGACTGTAGATTATTAAATGCTTGTAATTTATGTTTTTACTCTTAACATTTGTCATCTGTTGTTTTGCTTAAATTGTATCATCCAAATTGATGCTTTCGTTTTCATATTCTCTTGCTCTGAGTCCATTGTTTCCACGCAAGATGATAGTTTAATTGTGCTTTTGATCATGCCATTATGCTTAAGGAAGCAGTGCCGTCTAGGCTTTGATAGCTCGATTTGTTGTAATTTTAGTTGAAAATGTAGTTCTTGAATATAGACATCAGAAAATGAAAGAGGGGAAACTCGATTCTGAATAACGATAACACTTAAGTTGGCTCGATTTTTTGTAATTTTAGGGTGTGTTTGCTTGGGGGGTTGGATTTTGAGTTGGGATTTGAATAGTAAAAAATTTGAATTGTAATAGTTGTATGAATTTGAAATAAATAGGTGTTGATGTGATGTTTTGAATGTAAAATTAATTTTTAGTATAATATAAAAAATAAAAAATAGGTGCTTGATTTGATGTTTTTTGGGAGAAAATTTTGGATGAATAGTAAGATTTTGTCAAAATCTTTCAAACGAACACACCCTTAGTTGAATATGTACTTCTTGAATATAGACATCAGAAAAATGAAAGAGGGGAAACTCGATTTTGAATAACGATAACACTCAAGTTAGCTCAATTTGTTGTAACTTTTTAGTTGAGAATGTAGTTCTTGAACATAGACATCAGAAAATGAAAGAGGGGAAACCCGATTGTGAATAATGATAACACTTAAGTTTGCTCAATTTGTTGTAATTTTAGTTGAAAATGTAGTTCTTGAATATAGAAATCAGAAAATGAAAGAGAGGAAACTCATAATGAATAACGACGATAGCACTTAAGTTAGATCGATTTGTTGTAATTTTAGCTGAAAATGTAGTTCTTGAATATAGACATCAGAAAACAAAAGAGCGAAAATTCAATTGTGAATAACAGTAACACTTAAGTAGTACGATCGTTGGATTATGGATCTCTCCTCTCCTTGCAGAAAAATCATGTGAATTTCATTCTGGTTAATGTGAAACTTCTTCTGGATTTTGAAATTTGTCTTTTAGTTGGGACGAATAATGATGTTGGCATTTAGAAATTCTTAGTTTAAAACATTTTTAACCGATCTTTCTGCCGTGGATTAGCCGCTGTTGAGTTATTTCTGTCATTAAGTTTTAGGTTTCATCGAAATGGATGCCAAGACATCGAACGGAGAGCGCAGACACATTACCATCAAACTCTGGCCTCCCAGCCAAAACACCCGGAAAATGCTAGTGGAGCGGATGACGAACAATCTCTCAACTCCAACGATTTTCACTCAAAAGTACGGAACATTCAGCAACGCCGAGGCTTTAATACACGCTGAAAGAATCGAGGAATTAGCCTTTTCTACCGCAAATCAACACTACGAACAAGAACCAGATGGCGACGGCAGTGCCGCCGTTCAACTGTATGCAAAGGAATGCAGCAAGCTAATATTGGATGTTCTGAAGGGAGGAGCCGGCAGCGTCAAAATCGAGGAAAAGGAGATTCCGAAATCTGAAGACGACTCAACTCCCCGTGAAACGGTTTTCGATATATCGAAAGGTCAGCGGGCGTTTATCGAAGAAGACGAAGCTCGAACACTTTTGGCTCCGTTGAAAGCGCCCGGGAATTCCTACACGAAGATATGCTTTAGCAATCGGAGCTTCGGATTAGGCGCGGCGAACGTTGCCGGGCCTATCTTGGCGTCGATTAAGGCCCAACTGAAGGAAGTTGATTTGTCGGATTTCGTCGCCGGGAGGCCCGAGGTGGAAGCTCTCGAGGTTATGAACATTTTCTCCGAAGCTCTAGAAGGTTCCAAATTGAAGTATCTGAATATTTCTGACAATGCTTTAGGCGAGAAAGGAGTCCGAGCATTCGGTAAGCTATTGAAGTCGCAACCGGGTTTGGAAGAACTTTATCTGATGAACGACGGGATATCGAAAGAAGCCGCGCGAGCTGTTCGGGAATTGGTTCCGTCGACGGACAAGCTCCGGGTTCTTCATTTTCACAACAATATGACGGGAGACGAGGGCGCCGTTGCCATTTCCAAGATTCTCGATCGCTGCCCGTCGTTGGAGGATTTCCGATGCTCGTCAACGAGGGTCGGGTCGGAAGGCGGGACTGCATTGTCGGAGGCGCTCGCGAAATGCACGAACCTGAAGAAACTCGATCTCCGAGACAACATATTCGGCGTCGAGGCGGGTCTGAAGCTGAGCGAAGCTATTTCGAAGCTTGAATGTCTTGAGGAAATTTATCTAAGCTACCTGAATCTCGAAGACGACGGCGCGATTGCTATCGCCGATGCGCTCAAGGACTCGGCGCCGTCGCTCGAAGTGCTGGACATGGCCGGGAATGATATCACTGTCGAAGCTGCTCCGGCGCTCGCCGCTTGCATCGGTAAAAAGACGTCGCTCGTAAAGCTGAACCTGTCGGAGAACGATCTTAAAGACGACGGCGCGATTCAGATTGTGAAAATGTTCGGAGACGGGCATTCGAAATTGAAGGACGTCGATTTGAGTCAGAATTCGCTGAGGAGGGCGGCGGCGAGATTGGTGGCTCGGGCGGTGGTGGGTTTGCCGGGATTCGGATTCTTGAATGTCGACGGAAATGCGATTTCGGACGACGGGGTTGATGAATTGAAGGAAATTTTCAAATTGTGCCCGGAGAAACTCGGGCCCCTCGACGAGAACGATCCCGACGGGGAAGATCTCGACGAGAAGGAGTCGGCAGACGGAGACGGAGACGAGGAGTTGGGAGAAAAGCTGAAGAAACTTGATGTGAATGAAGGAGAAGAGTAAGGTGTCCTAACTCATAAGCTAAGCTAAGGTAAAGTTAGTTATTCTGGTTTTGGTATGTTAGAAGAGAACTTTGGAATGCTTTGCTATGCTATTTGATGATGCTTAGTTTTGTTGTAAGAGATTTTCTTATTAATGTTGTTTTTATTTTGAAAATAATAGTGGTAGTAAAATTGGTAGGTTTAGGTGCTGACAGTGGCAAGTATATCAGCAGCAGCAAATTAATTATATTAAGAATAGTGCTAACATTAAGTAATTTTTTCTCCAGCTTACATAATTTATCAATTTTTCTTATTTCGATCTACTGTGGACAAGTTAACTGGGCCGGAGGTAGTATTATAGTACAGTAAAAAATAGTGATACAATATTATAGTAATACTTATATATATATATTTGATAACATGAAAATTCGTGGTCGGACTTAATAGTTCTGTAAATTAAGTTCAACAAGACTAGTTATATTAGACGAACTAGGTATGACATACAAGATATGAAGACGAACTAGGTATGACATACAAAATATGAAGACGTAACTTTTTTTTATAACGTGAGAATCCACAGACGTTATCTGAAAGTGCACATTGGATAAACTTTCGGCCGAATTTAATTCTCTAGATTAAAAAATATGGACAATTTTATGTGGGAGAGTGAGAGTATTGCTCAAGCTAAAATGAAATTGTTCAATCCAAAGACACCCCCAAACTCTGTATATCTATATATATATACATTATTACCCTCATAACCTGAAATAAAAATAACTTCAGCACCTGATCCAATGTAAATGACATTTTATAATTGATGTGAAAAATCCCTAATCTCTTAGCAAATAAACACTAGTAGCATTATTCAAGAAAAGAACATGACATGTTGAGGATGATCAATTGAACAACACTCCACTCCATACAACTAACAAACTTTTTTAGTACCCAATTAATTAGTGTCCAAATCCTAAAATTGCTTCTTATGAAAAATAATGATCAATTCATCAAACTTGATCTCCTCTTCTTATGTCCACTCCAAGTCATTGTCAATCCATTCATCACTCCCCCCTCAGTCCCATCTAAGCTGCTTCTCTGACAACTTTCCGCCTCCGATTTCGCCGTAGTCGTCGCCGCTGCAGCCGCCGTTGTCTCTTCACTCTTCACCTCGCTCATCGACACCGTCTCGCTCTTCATTTCGGGCACTTTCTTCTCACTGCCGACGACAACTCCGCTGTTACTTTTCGGCAATTCGACCGGCGGCGGATTCTGATTCTCCCTCCGCCGTTTAATCGAATGCTTCGATGAAGGATCTTCTCCGTTCTCGACAGCCTTCATCCATTGCGTGTCCGTCAACGTATCCTCCCGAATCACCTCCTTCCGACGTCGTTTTCCGGTGACCGGTGTGTCAAAGTCGAGCGACCCTTTTCCCTTCCCGGATTTCATTTCCGGTACGGTGTAAACCCAGTCCGGCAGCTCGTGTTCTTCCATGAGCCGGGACCGGTAATTCTCTCTCTGCCGTCGCTCGTCGTCCATCCTCTCGAACAGCCAAAATTCTTCGTCTGATCGCGCCGCTAAACGGTTTATCTCCCGCTCGCTCGGCACGTCCGTTCCGAGCGAGCTCGAGCCTTTCCGCATGATTTCCTCTAACATCTCCCGTCGATCTTGCGCTGAAGATAAAAAAAAATAAACAATCGCAACAATAAGCATAATATCGAAAAAAACTATCGATTTCATGCAATCACAAACCCGTCGACGTCGTATTGAACAGTCCCGCCTGGATGACCTTCGCGTCGATGCCCATTTTCTGCTTAGCCCTTTCCAAGATGACTTCTTCGATGGACCCGACGCTGACGAGCACAAAAACTCTGACCTCCTTTTTCTGCCCGATTCGGTGCGCCCGATCTTCCGCCTGTTGGTCCATCTGCGGATTCCAGTCGCTGTCGAAAATTATCACCGTATCCGCAGTCTGTAAATTCAGGCCGAGTCCTCCGGCACGGGTGCTGAGAAGGAATATGAAGAACGGCGAGTCGGGGGCGTTGAATTGCTTAAGTAATTCGCCTCTGTCGCCGGTGCTCGTGGAGCCGTCGAGTCGGAGAAAATGAAATCCTTTCAGCTTCAAATAGTCGCCGAGAATGGTCATTAGCTTCGTCATTTGAGAGAAAAGGAGGACTCTGTGGCCGGCCTTGTGAAGTTTGGGGAGTAACCGATCGAGAAGCTCGAATTTTCCCGATGCCCGGATCACTTCCTCTGTAGGTTGCAGATAATAATCGCCGAGAAATAGGTATGGATGGTTGCAACACTTCCGAAGCTGCATCGTCAAATTCTGCAGGCTTTTCGACCTGCCGCTACCTGCATATTCGTGTATATATATGTCGCTTAGCATCCTCAAAATTTTCAACAAACGAAAACTAACAATTTTTCGTAAAAATTGTTTATAACCCACATGTGATTTGGAAAGTTTGCATTTGCATAAGATTCTCTCGTGCTTTAAAAAATATTATACATCATCTGTTTTTTTCGAAAATTCCGTGCATTGTTTTTGAAAACACAATGTAGCCTCACGCAGTTTTTACAAGATTCTATACAATATTTTATAAAAACAAGGAGTATTATGCAATTTCTACATCAGAAGGAATATGCAAAATTTTTGCATTAGGCTCCCTCGTATTTTAGAAAATATTACACTTCGTCTGTTTTTCAGAAAATTCCGTGCAATATTTTCGCGAACATAACATAGCCTCACACAGTTCTTACAAGATTCTATGCAATATTTTCGCAAACACAACGTAGCCTCACACAGTTCTTACAAGATTCTATGCAATATTTTCTAAAAACAAAGAGCATTATGCAATTTCTAAATCACAAAGAATATGCAAAATTTTCAAACCATAGCTGAGTTATAAACAATTTTGCCCAGTTTTCCGGAATTATCAACAATCCAATATATCTAATGGTGACGGCAAAAAGAAAAGTCTTATATTGAATTAATTTTTGGTTATGAATGAAGTCCTAATTCAACTAAAGGGAAAAAAACCAAATTGATTAACGTAACAAATAACCGAATGGAAGAGGAATTAATTGAAGTAATTTCTTACCTTGAGCGAGCCCAACTCTTCCCATTTCCGTAACTTGCTGGTAATATACTTTCTGCCATGCCGACATGTCACATTTTAGAATGACCTGAGTTTTACTAGGTAGGTATTTCTCAACCTCATCTTTCTTCCGTCTCAATATAAATGGCCGTATGACCTAATTAGAACAATCGCAAGAAGGCAAACATTAGAAATGTTATCAATTAATCTACAAAGAAAGATTACAAAAGGGAACGCATACATGGTGCAAGCGTCGAATGACTAATAGTTGCTCTTCATCTGTCAAAGAAACATCACATTTGTCGGCAAAGGGGGCATTGAACCACTCCTCAAAGTTCTCGACTGAATTGAAGATGTTAGGAAGGAGAAAGTTAAGCAGGGACCACAGTTCCTGCAAGCTATTCTGTATCGGGGTACCAGTCAGAAGAAGTCTTCGCCGAATTCGATAACTGTCAAAATCGATAAACAATTAGAGAACCTGTTCTTTCTGAAATCGGTAAATACTATTCAGTTTTAATATAAATTGGTAAACGACAGATTTAAAAGAGATTCAAAACAAGGTTATTAGAGTGTACCCTGAAACCAGAGTCCTTGCAAGAACACAGTCGAAGTTTTTAAGTCGATGGCCTTCATCAACAATCAGGTAGTTCCAATGAGTTTTCCTCAAAAATGCTTTATCTCTGATAATAAGGTCGTAATGTGTGATCAAAACATTGAACTTCCCTTCTCCTGAATACTCTTCTCTCAGAGCCTTTCGCTCATCCTGACGCCCGTCATAAAGAACAGCTGAAATGCTGAAACATTGAAACAATAAATTAGACCAAAGCAGTTAATCATGAACTACTGTTTAGGGAAGATCTTGATGATGCATACCCAGGCGCCCATGTCGTAAATTCATTAATCCAGTTTGGCAGGACAGCCTTTGGGGCCACGATTAAATGGGGCCCGCTCACGCCCTTGTTTTCCATGAGATAAGCAATTAAAGAGATCGTCTGAATCGTTTTTCCCAGCCCCATTTCATCAGCCAAAATTCCATTTAGATTGTTATTGAATAGCGACAGCATCCATTGAAGACCCTCAATCTGGTAAGGTCTTAACTCTCCACCTTGAAGCATATTTGGTTGCTCACTCACCTACAAAAGTACATGTCGAATTACATCAGCATTTTGTAATAATTCTATTGCTCGAGATTCAAAATCCTTCCAAATAGATAGATTGAATGGGGGAAATCTCTTCCAAGAATCCTGTTGGCACAAATGTGGGCTAGGAAAGAACGAGTAAGGTGTGTTTACAAAGAAGATAACATTTCAACAATATAATACCAGCAACCAATCGTTCTAACCAATCTAAGACGAATACCAATCTACCCAAGAACCTTTTTCGAGAAAGATTTTAAACTTTGACAACATGTACATCAAGGACAAAAGCACCAGAAACCTTCCAATGGTTAAGACAGATATAATCACATAGCCATACCTTTTCCTGGATAGAGTGGACAACGGAATTATATTTTCGCTGCCCTTCCAGCAAATCACCTGTCTTTGCTTTATCATCAGATTCATCGTCGACCTCTTCATCTTCTTCTGGAGCCGACTGTGCTGGTGTATCAGTCCTCGAAGCAGATAACTCAGCCAATTCAGAGTCTGAACCTTGCAGGGGTTCAATGCCATCATCTCTGGCATCTTTTTGTCGCTGAACAGCAGCTCCCAAGCGAACTAAGAGATCATTAGTTTTTCCTAGGAGCATGGTCAATCTTTCATTCTTGCTCTCCTCAACCATTTTCATGTAAGCTTCTTGATCATCAGCTTTCAGTGCTTGGAATCTCAACTTTTCAGCTCGTGTTGCTCGTTGCCTCAGCCTTCCATGCCAAGCCTACACAGACAAATTGTATCGAACACATTATACCTTTTATAACAATAATACATCCAACGGGGATACTACAAGCCAAAAGTATAAACTTAACGGTATCTGGATTAAACTCATAACTACAGAGGCATAATGGTAATGAAATATTTCAAATAACCACACAGAAACATTACAATTTCGGTACTTAAACACTATTTTTTCGAATTCATAATATTGTATATCCCATGCCTTCTAAAAATGTATTGCTAGTTTCGCAAAATGGTGATAAATAAACTGTAGAAGAAAGGTAATTATCATGCCTGAACACCGTCATTTCTCTGTTTGCGCCGTTTCTGTGAAGCCAGGACTTGCATTTGAAGTTCTCGAGCACCATTAAGCAAGTCAGCAAAAAACTTCCTTTTCCTAGTCTCTATTCGATTCCTTTCTTCCTCCTCAAATCTTGACAATCTCTACAAAAGAGACAACAATAAACTTGCGTGATTCAGCCAAAAGTCATTCCAATATCAATAACCTATATTAGCTTTTCAGGTGATTGTTATATACAGATATGTTGGCTGATAAACTCAATGAAAATTGTCAAAAGTTAAGATGAAACAGTTACCTCAGCCTCTCGTTTCTTCCTGAGAGGATCATCAGTTTCCATTGCAAAAGCATCTCCAACGCCAAATAAGGGACGGCGCAGTCGCATCATGCCCCAATCAAAAAGCTGCTTGTCAGGATTCGCACAATGCAAACGAAGCCAATACTCAGAACTCACTTCAGAGCGCACTTTACTCTGGAGATCAGCTAACTGACATGGCAAACGAAATAACTGTCAAACTACAATTATTATACACCAAAACATAGGTACAATCAATAGCATAAGACAGGTTCGCCTTTCAAAATTGGTGGGTACGTACACCTTAGCATATTATCAAAACAGGATAATTAGATAATACAGAAAGGGAACTGGGTGGTTTACCACAAGGACAGTAAAATCTACTGCCCAAGTGCCCAAAGAACATTATCTTACGTCTTGACATTCATTTCAGATAAATGGCAAGCGAGTTGGAAGAGATCAATTAGTAACTGAAAGAACTTCAACCGGGGAGTTAAAACAGACAACTTTAGAACAGACTCAAAAAGCTGGAGATGCATTAAGAAAAAAGTTATTGAATATGACAAAATTAAACCACTTCGCCCACTCATTTTTTACTCTATCTAGTTTCAGAAGGTATCTTTGTCGAATCATGAATCAATCCAACCTTAAGTCCATAAAGCTCAAGCAAGCATCTTGACTGCAGGTCCTCGCCTCTGCTTGTGGGCAGTTCTGTTTGCAAAAAACATATTCAAGTATGTTATAGCTAGATAAACACATGTTTGAAATAATTTGACTATGAATATGGTCCAGACATTTCAGATTTTTCAGGATGTTATAGACAAGCCATTCAAATTGCAGAATGTGTGAGATCTTACAGAGTTTATGTGTAGAAGGTTTCAGTTTCTGGTGTGGAATTAATAGCCTATTTTCTGCTCCCAGTAGGTTTTCTCGACCATTTTCATGCTAATTTTTTTTTTCATAAGTACATGAAAATCTTGAATGTAGAGTAACCTAGGTTCTTCCAATACATCAGATATTATACAACTTACAATACTTAAGTTTCATAAGTACATGCTGAGGGTCTTTTTAAGAATTCCAAAATTACAAAAATTGGGTGTTCGCTGATAATGTCTTAAGAATCCGATAGACAACAAATATCATGCAGCTGAATCTGATGACAGAAAATGTGTTTGCAAACATGCCTTTCATCATAGAATATGAATTTGAAAAACATATCTAGCAATCTACGTATAGAAATAATTATGCCCTACATGTTTTTCTCACAAATCACAAGTCCAGGTAGACATAATTTTGTGCCGACTTTGTCTTTTCCAGTAACTACTTTGAACAACTTGGGCTTACATGGCAATTTGCCCTGACGTCATGTAACTGTTACTTGTATTCTAATTTTAATAGGTCCTGGTTTTCAAAATATTAATTGCCTCGTATTGCTTCTTGTTAACCAATGATTGGCATTACAATATTTATGTCAAAGTTCTTAGCAAACATAAGTTGAATTTGTGACAGATTTTATCCTCTCCCAAGTGGCAGGTTTGGTTCTAGATATGATTGGATTTCTTTTGAGGAGGGAAGAAACAATGATTGCCTTCAGTGTAAAGTCACAGATGGTATCAAAATAGTACGTGCGCAAATTTTATATGTATATATTTGCGTGTTTATCATTTGATTTTATTGCATATGGAGGTAATAGATGTGAGTGTGTGCTCACATGCCTGTGTAGAGAATGGTTGATATTATATACATAGAATGACTGAATAATGTGTATAAGAATATAATTTTTTTTTTCTGAAGTATATCTTACATTCAGCAGATATTTGCTGTATTAAAGTTTTGAAACCAGACCGATTTCCATGCCAAAACATTCTACAGAATTATTCTACATCTCTAGAACTATTTGCATACATATCCAGTCCTGACCGTCCTCAAACCTAATTAAAAAATGAAGACAGCTTCATGGATGGGATAAACTGTTAAGATTATTTAGTTAAACATCTTTCCAGTGCCAGTAGTAAGATTATGAGTACTCATAGCTGGCCATCCTATCTGAATTGCAATAAATGAAGAGAGAATTTTCAGATAAAAGGATAAGATAAATTGAACAGAATGGATGGGGTGCAGGATTGTATCACTAAGTGGGATAAAAGTCCCCAACTAAATTGATGGAAGTTAACGAGCACAATACTAACAAGAAACTAAGAAAAAAGCCAATATTAACATGTCAATTAAGCAAATCAAACTCAAGGTCAACTATATTACTGATTCTTTCTCGGATTTGTTCTTGACAATTGGAATGGCAGATAAAAGTTAAGAAAAGATCAAGACTACAAGAAACCCTAGAGTTAAAAGAAGTCACATCAGATGGGCAATAAAGCATTACCATAAACAATGAATTCTTGTAATAAGTTAAATTTAATTAAAATAATTACCCTCTAATTCAGTTACACGACGCTGGACTCGGCTTTGAAACCTATTTTCCTTTATATCTGACAATTTTGAACCAGGCAAACAACTTGATCTCTGCTGCAGCACAGCATCCTCAAAATCCAACATTAACTCATCATAACTTGGCGGCATACCAAAAGAATCCTGTAGCATCATTACAGGTGAAAGTTAATGCCTCATACAAAGAATAATTTGACGGATGGAACAGGAAGCTATAGCTGCGGCAAGTTAGGAAACTAACTTGCAACAAAACAGTCTCATGAGTACTGACAAGTATAGTATGAAACATCTCGCGATTATCTAAGCCTTTTATAATAACAAACATAACTCAAGGAAAAAGTTTAGTTTAAGATATTATAGGCACTTTTCAATCTTCCATGATATTCACCTTTACAAAGTTGTATGTATGAATTGGAAGTGTGTACACTAAAATTTAGACTTGCCCTCTAAATCACCGTTGACTAATGGTGTTCATATACCTATAGAACGGTTAAAAAGTGCATTGATTCTAATTTTGAAGTGTCTGACGACAGCAATGGCTAACATTCATGTTATGATGTCATTGGAAAGCACAAGAAGATTATCTCATCCATTTAACAAGAAAGCGTTTATCACTATAGTTCACATATCGAGGTGGCAATTTATAAATTTGAATTCAAGTAAAATATATATATACACATATAATATTTTCTATAAACAGGACTTCAGATGGATGGTTAACTAAAAACTACTTTAGGTGCCACCTTCAAACTCCACAACTCTAATTATTACTCTGACAGCTGAATATATGTGTGTATATATACGACAAAAACAGTTTATTACAAAAACAAAAGAATGCCGACAGTTTGTTTCTTTTCTTTTCTTTTCTTTTTTTTTATTTACTAAATTTGATATGCAACAAACAAGAAATAAATTAGATTTTCACATCATCCATAAAGCTGAGACTTTTCTCTGTAGGAAAACCCAGAAAGAGAGAGAGAGAGAGGGCATATCCAGCACAGCCGACTAGATACCCCAGTCACCAATAAAGTCACGAGTTACATAAAGGTAAACATGAACTTCCTAATTTGAATGGTGACGTGAGAAATCAACTGGTGTTCTGGTACACAATATTGAATGCTAGTGAGGTGCCTCACAGCCAATTTTTGCGAAGCCATAAACAATTGTGTGCACATTCAATAATCCAAATGCTTCAGCCTCCTAACGTAAAGCTAATTAGGCTTGTACTTTTAAATTAGCTTGTTATGCTCGTATATTTCATTTAGAAAAACAAACTGTTATCATTGTGACTTAAAAAACTAGCATCTTTTGCTTGCAATAACCCATGCTATAGAAAAACCAAGCAAGGGTAAGGTCTGTTTGTTTGGGTTTTCCCACCCAATTTTGCATTTTACAATTCATAGAACTACAGTGAAATAATTCTTTTTTTCCAACTTCCAAAACATGTCAAATTAACCATTTAATTAAATGTTTTTTTTCCTTTTTATTATTGTCAAATCAACCATTTATAACTTTCAGAAAGCACATCCAAACAAACCATCAGTTTCAAAACTTGATTATCATTCAAGAAAATGCAAATCTTAAACACTCAAAAACACACTCAACGCACCGTAACATATTCAGCGAGTAGAACCAAATGTAATAAGCAAAATAAAATCCACTATTAGGTCATACCAATAAACAACGAAAGAAAGAAAGAAATCGTGTGCACACTATTCAATGAAAAAGGACAAAATATTATTAAATGCAAAACTTAATGAATGCTTCTGCCTTCATATTTCAAGCCTGTCTAGACTCAATCACTAGACCTATGCCACTACTGATAATTGCAATTATAAGGCATAACCACCTACATAAGAAAACACTAAAAACATAAGAATGTTATAGCAATAATAGTTTCTCTGAAAGCTTAAAAAATATATATATACAAAACACAACCATTTTAACTCAAGAAGACTCAGCTACTGCAAATTACTAGTACCGATCAAAATGACTTTCACATTGAAAATTTTAACCCTTTTCTGTCATAAAAAGCAAATATAAAATAATTCCAAAGATAAACAATTAGCCAGACCAAAACAATTTCCCCTAGAAAACTAATGAACCATATCGCCCATTTGCCAATATCATTTAATATAGTCTTCAGGTCTAGCAAAACTTTCTTGAAAAAATCATAACAAAATTGTAAATAAATAATTAATCTTAGCAACCATATATTATCAATACCAAACTAAAAAGACACTTACAAAAGTAATTAAAAACCGCTAATTAAGGAGTAAATGTGTTCATTAGCTTGAAAACTTTCACCAAGATTAACATACAAAGATCAGATAATAATCAACTGCAGCTTAAACCTATATCCAATGAAGAACTAGAAGAAATGAACACTCCCAATTTAAAACCTAAACGAATAAAAACCAAACACAATCAAACAAAAATTCAGTAATAGTCCCGAGTAGTCCTAATCTTGAAAAAAGACTGAATTGGAGACAAAGCTAAAAGCAGAAAATGACAACATGAACTAATACAAACCTAAAACTACAATCTTTCTAAGCCAAAGATTACAATTCAACAAAATCTAAACAAGAAAACAACACAATTAAAATCCAAAAACTCACAAGAACCGCCCTAACCCCCCAAAATCAATTCTATAGCACCACACAATTTTCTTTAAAAAAAAAAAAAAAAAAAAAAAAACAAAGCCACAAACCGGTTGCACCATCGAAGCATCATCCCCATTGCTGACGTCATCTCCGACGTCACGATCAGCATCGGCGGCGAGAATGCCATTGCTGCTGTAGATCGAGGAAACCGCGTCGTATACGTCTTGCGGCAAGGGCAAATCGCGGGAGAGGAAATTGAGCGCGCAGATTAACGTCCTGGCACTATCGAGAGGGCTTTCAGCGCCGCGGTCGCCTCCGCCACTACGGAGCTGCGGAGCAGATGGCTGAGGCTCCGCCACCTGTGCAACCATGGCGGGAAGAAGGAGAGCCCAAAAACGGCGTCGTCTGATGCTAATTTGAAAAAAACACACAAAAAAATTTATCGAACGCCTTCTGCTCCCAAAAATCGGTAAAATTATAAAAACAAAAAAGAAGGGACTTATGTTATGGGGATCGATTTTTATTTTTTATTTTCTTTATTTTTTTATTTTTTTCTTTTTCTTTCGCCCCTTCCTTTTCCGATTAGGGTTTTCGCTACTTGTCCGAACGCCCCTTTATGCTTCAGATTCAATGGGGTGTTGAAATTACTATTATACCCTCTTAACCGGAAATTACTCACATGCCCTCCGTAGGAGCGTGCTCAATCAGTCAATCGGTATTTTACCTCTAAAAATTAACTTAGATTTATTTATTACTCACTCCGTACTGCGATAGTTCTTGTTTATTATTTTTTTTTGTTTTAAAATAATAGTTTTATTTTTATAAATAGCTATATCATTATAAAATTATTATATTTTTTTATTTTTATTATACAGTTGTCACTATTTTTTACACTAATACACTTACAAAAATAAAAAAAAAAAATTATTAATACTTTTTACCAACTATTAATATCCGTACACAATTCAATTAAGACTATATTTATGGATCGAATAGAGTACTATTTTTGTCCACTAAATTCATACTCCATACTTAAAAGTACTAATTTATATATATATATATATATATATAAGATATTAATAAATAGTAGTAATATTTTATTAATAAAAAATGTAGAATAATATTGATATTTTTATTTTTATAAAAATTTAAATTATTTTAGTATTTATATATAAATTATTTTTATTATATAAAAATTGATAATTTAAGTAAAATAAATGAAATGATAAAATAAATATATTGAATTAACACGAATTTCTAAAAATAATATATTAAAAAATATATAAATGTATTAATAAGATAAGAAAAAATAAAAATGATAAATTGAATATGTAAGTAATAGTTAAAAATTTGCAAATAAGTATAATGTCAGATAAAATCAATTAAAATTATTGTAAGAGTTGTTTATTGTAAATGAAAATTATATATTTTTTAATAGAAAAACAAAATTTTGATAGAAAGTTTTAAAAAAATATTTGTAGTGTTTATCTATAAATAATAATAATAATAATAATAATAATAATAATAATAATAATAATAATAATAATAATAATAATAATAAATAGGAATAATTGTGATTTGTGTGGCTAAAAGTGAAATTTAATTTTGTAGATTTTTAAATAAGAAACAATATGTAAGAGACCCAATTTATCGGCCCAGCCCAATAGTAAAGCAATAAGCCCAATAACGTATGGGCCTTGTGTACTGTGATAATAATAAAGAACATTGCCATAATGTTTTGAATTTAGATATATTTTAAAAATATTTTGAATTAATTTAAAAATAATAGAAATAATTGTATATATAATTATATTTTATATGATATAAATAAATATTTAATAATATTTAAATGCAATATATTATTAGAAAAAAAATATATTTTATAAAACTTCGTAAACTTCTATGGTAAAAAATGAAAAAAGAGATGGAATAAAGCATGTATTTGAATACATGTTGTTCTTCTGACAACAATTTTCAGTATTTTTTTTTTTAAAAAAAAAATTAATATATTACACATATTTTTTTATATATTACTTACACAATTTTTTATACTCCCTCCGTCCAAGTTAAAAGTATACATTTAAATTTGGCGCGGTGTAGATAAAAAATAGTGAAATGACATTTTTGCCCTTACTTTTTTGGTATAAAAGTAATGATGTGATGTAAAGTAGAGATATTTGTGAAAAAAAAAAATATTTAATGAAATTGTTACTTTATAATTGGACGTCCCAAAATATAAAAATATGAGTACTTTCTACCTGGACGAAGGGAGTATTTAACATTAAAAATATATATATATATATATATATGAAAGTACTAAACAAATACTAACTACTCGTATTTCTTAAAATTTTCACTCTTAAATATATTGGATTATTTTTTTTTTAAAATTTGGTTTCATTTCACTATATAATACTATCTCCGTCTCACATACTGTGTCTACTAAATTGTAGATACGGTATTTTATGAATGGTGTAATTAGTAGATAATTAAGAATGTATTAGTGAAAATAATTATCCTATAATATAAATAATTATAAATTAAGATTAAAATAAGTAATTAGTTTAATTAAAAATTTAAAAAAATTAAAATGAGATAAAAGTGTGTAATTATTTTCCAAAAAAAGAAAGTGACATGATATGTGGACAGACATAAATGGCAACGTGGACATGATATGTGTGACGGAGGGAGTAATTTTTTTTTAATATATTAAATTAAACATATTATATATATATTTTTAATTTTGTATGTGTTATTTTGTATTCTTTATTTTTAAATAAAGAATAAAGAATGTCTCCCTCATGGATCAAGACCAAAATTTACGTTTATTTTAATTATTTTTTAATTATGATTCTCTACCTAATGTTTCGGCTGATTTTGGTGTAATCTCATTTTATATTTTATTAATTATAATTTTAAAACTTAAAAAAAAAGTTTCAATAACATTAATTTACATCGATTTTTTTTAAATACATTATATGTTTATTTTATCTCATAAAATATAGTATTTTAAAAAAAAAAAAACTTAGTTTTTTATTATTTTTAAAATTTTATAAAAATTTTAAAACTCTTAAGAATTTTATTTAAATGGAACTTTAATTTTTTATAGATATAATTTTTATAAAAAAATAATACTCTTTCCGTCCCTTAATAAGGTATCTATTTGTTTTTCTACGTCATTGTAATTAACATTAAAAATATAATTATATTAATATTATAAGACACTAATAAAAATGATTTTGTCATTTTTTTTTAATTTGTAATACGTTTTGATATAATAATTAATACTCAAATATTATCGTGAAAAAATAAATAAATATTTAATTACGGGAGGGGGAGTATAATTTTATAGAAAATTATAAAAATTATATAATAAAAAATTGATTTAAAAAAATATCTTCACCTATTTTTTTAAAAATGAATAATTATAATAGATGAAGGTATGTAACTTTTCGATAATATAAAATATGCATAATTTAAAATATATTTCGGGCTTTGAAATTAAATAATACAAGTGAAGAATAAGTTACTAATAATAGAAAGTAAAAGGAGGCACTAACATGATGCACCTCTAAAAAGATATATATATGCTTAAACCCATAAAAGGCTATAGAATATAAAATTAATAATATAAAAATTAAATAGTAAAATTATGTAAAAAAAAGTAATTTTTATTGAATACAACAAATAATGTTTAACAATTAGATATGGGATATGTTCATTTTGGGTATAGATTTTTTTTAAAAAATTTATTAGATGTGAAAAAATATATTCATTATATAAAAATAATACTAGTATATATATATATATTGTTATGAAATAAGGTCGATTCATTTTTACATGTAGATTTTTGTTTAATATTAATATTATATTATAGGTAGTACAAATTAAAAATTTCAAATTTCAAATATTCTTATTAGTATTATATAATATAAAAATAATGATATATGTATAATATGCTGTAAAAATATTTTTAATATTTAATAGGTAAGATAATACTAAAATAAAATGAATATTTTGTTTTGAAATAAACAGAAGAAACCAATGAAGTATTTTACGTTGAATTAACATTTTTTTAAATAGATAGAGTATATGTTACGACAATGTATGTATACATTTTTTTATTTTTTTTTTTGTAATATGTCAAAAAATATTAAGTACCATAATAATAATAATAATAATACTCTCTCCGTCCCATTTTTCATTTTCGTTCGTCCCAAAAACAAGGTTATCATTTTCTAATTTAGTAATAGTACTATCTACATATCATAATAAATACCCTTCAAACTTACACTATGTTACACAAATGTCATTACTTTTATATTACACAATACTAATAGGGATATTTTCGTCTTTTTCACTATAACCCATTATAATACTAATATTCAAAAATCTATGTGCAAAAAGTAAACGACAACCTTAGATCGGGACGGAGGGAGTAACAAGATACCATAATATAATAAATCAATTACTACAAATCCTATGTTAATATAATTATATGTAGTCAGTATTGTATTGAATTTTGTATACCAATATACAAACTGCAGTCCAACCCACAAGATGGTTTATTTGATTTTTTTTATTATTATTTAAATTTTAAATGTTTTATTTAATATCTATTTTAAATTTAAAATAATACATCTAATTACTATTTTACTCTAATTAAAAAAAAATAAAAAAATAACCCTCATGTAGTATCCAAAATTCACTGCAAAATAAACAAACATGGGTTTAGATTTTGTTTGATTTTGATTTCAAATTAAAAAGTATCAATATTCAGTTAGTACTATTCCTAATAAAAATTATTATTTTCTCATAAAATATTTTTATCAAAATACTAATTAAAATGAAAATTCAAACTTAAATCAATTTTATTTTATTTTTAAAACCCCTTAATTTATGGTCAATTTAACTAGGACCACATTTTAATAAATAATTATTTAATTAATTGGAACATACATATTTCTATAATAATCCCATAAAAATCATTGTGATGGATTATTTTATTTCACCAATAATTACTATTCTTTTTGTTTTTATTAATTATGTCATTTTGTTTAGACAAATAGACTAAAAAAATAATAATATTTTAATATAAAAATTAGATATATAATAATAAAGTGATGATATTATAGAAATTTTATTAAAGAATTTTAAAAAATAATGTGATAGTTGAAAAAAAATAATGATAAATTGATTATTATTTATCAATGTAAAAATTAATTAGTACTGTGCACATAAAAAATATATTATCTGTACATAACTCGAAGTAGTACAACATGTGCTATATAAGTTGTTATTATATGTTGTCAATTCATATTTTATATACATATTATATTAATATATATATATATATATTTTTATGATGATCTGATAATCGTAATATGTACTTTGTGATTATTGTCATATGTTGTCACATTATATGCTGCATTTTTGTTATATTACCATACATAATGTATTTTCGATTTTATATACTCCTTCCGTCCAAATATAATAGTCTTGTTTACCATTTTTGTCCGTCCCAAAACAATAGTCTCATTTCCGTAAATAACTATATCACTATAAAACTACCCTTACCTTTTCATTATTATTA